TTTTTTTTATAATATTCTTTAAGTATGGTTGCACATGTAATGAACTTTCCATCATCTACAAGGGAAAAAACAAATATCAAGGAACAACATTTTTATTTTCATTTTGACAAAAAAAGGTAGGTCTCATTTATATTAAAAATACGCAAGTAACTCGCGTCATCATTCCTATGAATACATTACAAATCTTTAAAATATTATTTGAGTAACATTCAACAACAATAAGGAGTACATTTTATCTTTAAAAAAGGTTAAAAAATATTTCTAGGTTGCCTTTTCCTCGCGATTATATATTTTTATCATTAAAATGGTTTTATAATAACCAATTTATCATATTCTTATGATTGTATTTTTCTTTCCATTGTAATCATTTTGCATTGTACGGCTTTACCTGTAAGTATTTTAACACCCCCTACTGTCTGCTGGTTGGTTCTTGGTTCAGTTCTGGCTAGCGCCAATTTCTCAATTTCAGCCTTGCTAGGCGGCTCCTTAAATCTGGGCTTTTTTGCTGGCGGGTCTTGGGTTACATGTATATGTACATTTCATCATCACTTTTTTCAAAAAAACCTGTTTACCACTACGATTTTAGCGTAATTTTTACGTTTTTTGGCACGCAAATTACGCCAAAATAGGTAATTTCTATGCTTTCAAAGATGTTACAGAAAAAAAATGGCAGTATGTAATTTGAGTCCAAAGAAAGTTATCCGAACGTAAAACTGAGTCTTTGTCTTTTACGCGCTTGATAATAATTATAAAGCTATATCTTGCAAACGCTCTGGTGATCGTGACTTTCAAGTTTGATACTTGGCGCGATGCCGAAACGAAAGTATCATGGATTGAACGTTGAAGGGGGAATGGAAAAGACAAACATAAGAAGCTTTGTCAGCGTTTAAGGCAGGAATATGCTGCGATTTGGAAGTGTCTCGATTCATCCAAGAAGGCAGATCAACACATACATTGCGGGTTATGCCGAACGGACTTTTTATGTTCGCAAAATCTAGTCATTGTTGTTTTACTGAATTATTATCAAAAGTTTGAATTAATGATTTAAACTGTTCAAACGTTTTGAATTAGTTACATATATTGTGATGCCAGGCATATTTCAAAACGTTAATGCGATCAAGAGGTCAGAGAACGTAAATTTCCCGATGTTTGGACCACTGACAGACCGTAGTTGTATCCGAATTTACAATAGAATAAATTATTAAAATTTAAGAAGAAAACATATATTGTATTCAATATTATTAATCCTATTGAATTTATGTATTTTGTATCTTCAAAACATGACTCTCCAAGCCCAGAATGCAGGATTCTGCATCTACTCTTTCAAAAATGTTATGGGGTCATGAGACCCTCCTGGAAAGTTGGCGGCGCGTTGCGCCGCTCATCGGTTAAAGTACTTTGTGGAGACTTGTAAAAAAACTAAAAACTACACCTAAATATTGAAAACTACACTTTCCAAATGTATAAACTACACTACTAGCTTAAACGGGGTAAACAGGTCTGCATCAATCTGGGACTGTTCACTTTTTAAAGATTATTAAAGATGGTCTCCTCTGTCAATTTTTAGAATACAGAACTGATAGCTACATCACATATTTCATGCCTGAACACTCTTTCTATTTCACCATTAGTTATAGGCCTAACAGCATTTTTTTCCATAAAGTGATCAGCAATCATATAAATTAATTCTTTATATTATACTCTTACTCCAATTTCAACGGAGATACTGTTGCATATGTGGTAGGGTAGAATTTAGTATATTTTTGTAATTGCTAATTTGTATATATTGATTAAATTTATTGGAATAAAATGATTTTCATACATCTGATATTATTAGTTACAAATTGAATGGTATTTAATTTGTTCAGTCTGGATACTGTTATACTGACCAATGTACCTGTTTGCCTATGTAACCTTGATTTCTATATTTAGAATCTTAATTAAGGCTATATTTCTATATGGATAGTGATTTTGGTCACATGTTTGATTTTTGAGGGAAATTTCTATTGATCTGGACACTCTCATTTCAACTGTCTTACATGTACTGAGCAGTTATATTTCATTATTCTGGAGTTTGTAAATTGCTTGATCTATACTGCTGTATTTACTGCTGTATCTTTGGGAATCTGAATTATTACTTTACAGGTCAGTTATATATACTTTTCTCACATTATTTTGATAGTCTTAGAGTTTTTAACAGAGTATGCAAGATTTGGTTAGATTGATTGATTGAATGGAGAAATGAATCTGTAGTGTGAATCTGACCTTCATGAATGATAAATACAATTAATTAACCATAAAATGCTTTAAAGTCATTAAAGATTGATATATGATTAAAATATTAAATAATCTTAAATAATAGATTATTATGGAGTGAAATGATATAAAACAGAAAGAAAGAGTTTTCTTGTGTATAAATAAGAAGTATCTAAATAGTTGAATATTCATTTTAAAACCTTTATTATGTTTTAGCATCTAAGGGAACAGAATTTTGTATGTTTAGTGTGTATTCATATAATGAAGTCATATTGTAGACATGGAACACATTAGTTATAAATTCATATTTATCTTCAGGTTAATATTTGATGTAGCCATACATATATGATGTACATAGTCTTGTGACCTTCAAATTAGCACTTGAGGTAAGCAAAGAGTTGTATTATGTAGTTTTATGATTTAGTTAATATTTTGCTTTGCTTAGTTGCTGCATGTAGATGTTTTAATGCTTTGCTGTTTTGCTTCATTTATTAATATTTATGAATTCATGTAGAGTATATTTTTTACATGGTAACAGAATATTTAGCAGTAAAGTTTATGAGATACATAAAGTAATACATGTAAGACACAAGTTTAAGTTGAGTCTTTGAGACAGAAAATATAGATGTAAAAGAGAAAGACAATATTATTTTACTTAGAATGTTATACAGTGCAATGTACTTGTTCATAAACATGTCAGAGTTATCTGTCTTTGCACTAGTATTTATAGTATTTTATAATTGTGTTTTGTAGGGTCTTTATATGAGACTACTGTTATTTTGTTGAAGTCCTAAGACCTTTAATAAAGAATCCTTACAATATTTACAACCGAGTGCTGTTATAATGATGCCTATTTCCACCCGGCTTCATATACATTTTTAGACTATGAGTCATCGCACATGTGCATTTACGGGGAGGTTTACTAAATGGACGGAACAGCCATAAAGAACGCTGCCGGTTTGATTGATTTTCATATTAATAGTTTTAAAAAGCTTACGGAGGGTAAATATAGGATGTTTTAACTACGATATATAGTAAATTTTATGTAAGCAGCTAAAACATAAATATTTTATTAGGATAAAAATAAAAATAACGAGAATGTAAACAGTAAGTTTGTTCGCATGTGTCAAAGTCATTTTGTGCTAATTAGGCCAAATCATATTAGAATTTTCGTTCAGGCTTTGTTCTTTCTTGCGTATTTGCTTGAAAGGGGATGTTAGTGTGATATATTTGTTATTATCGTTTCTGTTTCAAAATGAATTTTATTTTATTAATAATTATTTAGTTTCAATTATTTTGAAAAGAGAGGGTTGGCTACTTTAACGTCGAGCTATAATTGTTTAAAACTTGAAAAAGTACTAGGTCTGCGTCTCTAAAACAAAACAGGTATTGGGTAATGGTTTAGCTGAACACATTCTTTCTTCTATAGGAATCCTTCACGTTCATTTAGATGTACAAAATCATGGAACTTTCATTTGCAAAGTGTATTACAAACAAATTTCATAATCAAGACCATGAAATATAAATAAAAGCAACCGCATGGTAGGCAAGGGAAACGTGTATATACGTGATGTTATGGCAATGAAAATTTAGGCGAGAATCTTGAGGATCAATTCACGATTAAAAATACATGATTTTCATCTCATCACACATAAGTTATATGATTTTGATCAAAATTTATGTGTTTTCTTTTTATAGTCTTGTAATGCTTTGTTAAAACTTGACCGACGTAATTAACAAACTTCTAAGGATGACAAAAACTTGCCCTATTAGCTCCGTATGTGAAGTTGCGTACATATATCATTTAATTAGAAAGGTCTAGTATGATTAAAAAAAAGTAAATGGTATAAAAAAATATCGAACTAGGCAAACTCAAAAAGGGGAAATCCATAAAAATTGACAAAATCAAACGTTTCCAACCAACGGAGCGAAGGTAAAACAACTGTCATGTTCCTGACACTGGTGCAGGCATTTTCCGTAGAAAACGTGGGTTAATCCTGTTTTAATTTGATAGCTAGCTAAAGTTCCCATTTGTATGACAGTTGTTTATAGTTCCGTTATATTGTCAAAATTGAAATTGACAAAAGGAACCTTTAAATGATAACCAAATTCCCTCTAAGGTAAATTTTTCCTGAAGGAAATGGAAACTAAGTTTCTCAATAATTTCTTAATGTATGAACGGACAATTTTAGAAATGTATGTCAGTACCAAAGAACTAATTATTGAGCTGATGATACCATTGGGGACTAATAGTCTGCTAGCAGCGATATGACCCAGTGCTATAAAATATGAAAATAACACTTTGTAAGTGTTATGCGTCGGGAGATCGATGTTTTTTATCTTCCGATCGAGTCTGAAATCAAATAGAAGAAAATTCATAGCCAAACAAGATATCACATTTTTTGTTCCTGTGAATTTTAGTTCATATTAAAATCTATAAAAATACATGAATTTAATTTGAAAATTAAGAAATATTTTTGAAGTATGTTTTTTGCATTATGAATATTTAGAATAATTTTTGCATTTAACGAAGGGATAAAAATATTCGGAAAATGTATGTCTCATTTTGGCACATGAATGTCAGTCACGACCAACTGTTTCAATGATACATAATTGAATTGAGGACGGATGTTCGAATTGTTTAAAATCGTTTTGTGCTTTTAGAGCAGGAAGAGTTTATTTGATATTTTTTGTTTTATGATACTTTAGTCAATATAATTTTGTTCATTAATTCAAAATGAGGAAACAAATAACGCATTGTCATTTATTCCTTAATGAAAGCTAGAGGATTTTATGATTTGTTTTCTTTTCCAAAAACTAACTGTCCAGATAGACGCTCTGGGTGTGTTGGGAGTTTGTAATGTTGATTTTCATTTTTTTAAAAGGTAGGTTTGTTTTAAGATCTAACATTTTTTGCATTTGTTGTTATATTTGGATTCGCTTTAAGTTTGGTTTTTTCGTAATAATTATCTAATTATCCCGAAAAGAAAGAAGAACAGACTTTGTGTTCACTGAATGATTGTCCCATTCTCCAATTACATTACGTTTCTTTCATTTTCCCCCCAGGTATAACAATTTTTTTCTTCACTTTTCTTCTATATTATAGTAATACTTATAAATAAATCTAGTAAAATGCAAAATACGAAAACAAATTTAATGTTGAATCAGGCTTCATTCGGATTTTTGACATAATACATACTTCAAATAAACCCAGTTTCTTAAAGTCATGTCATTTAAGTGGGTGTAGATATAACACAACATTTGAAAGGTGTTTTGTTTTAAATGAACAATGTAGAAAAAAAATATATAAAAACCTTATGATAATTAGTGAAAGTTTTCAGTTAATTGAATTTTAGACGTGGTCATTTCCGATTTTGCAGTATAAGTTAAGTATGTAACTTAACAAACAATTAAGTGTTACCGTCAACCTAAAAGGTCATCAAAATGCCGTGACATGCTTGTGAGTTCCGAATTTGATATAGATAGACATCATCACTATGATAGGGGTACTGTGTCCACTCACGTTTTGTATAAGATGGTTAATTTTGTATTTGAAATAAGAAGTGTGAACCTTACCATTTGATCGAAAACCAAATAATTGGTATTATTTGAATGGGGCACGTATTTTGTTAAAATATTTATAGGAAAATTGTTATTATAACTATTTCGTTCAAATGAAATAAATATTTCGATCAAACAAAAAACATATTTCGATCGAACAACATACATATTTCGATCGAACAAAAATATATTAAGAAAAGACAACATAATAATCTTTCGAGGAAGCTTAACAATCATCTGTAAGTTCTAATATATACTGAGTAACCTTTCGTGAAAATATCAAGACGCTAGTGTACTTCTCTTTTTACGTTATAGTGTTTAATATGTTGCCTCAAATATTAATATAGCTCACTTTGTATAATAATTATGTATATTTAAGAATAGTTGTACCAAAGTATATGGTTTGTATTCAATCATTTACAAGCTGCCATTGTACATCTTTTTTTGAATTGGACTTTCAGCATTATTAGTACAATTCATAGACAGTAAAACCGGAAGCAGTACCAATGGTGAAGACATTAATTTATTTTCGTGTGTTGGATGTACAGTGGTCATTGATTGTGCTCTAAACAAAATAGTTAGCGATCCTGTGTGGTCACGTAATGGTAAATCAATTTTCATACACGGCGATAGACTACAAATTGCGAAAGAAAACAAATTGAATTTGCAAATATCAGATCTAGTTAAGTCAGACACTGCTAAATACTGTTGTTTAGCGATCACCAACAGAAACGTATCTAAGGAGTACTGCACATCGCTTGAGATAATTGGTAAGTATATGAATGAAAAGAGATATGCCTGTTTGATAAACAGTAAAATGTTCATTTTATATACAAAAAGCGACCAAAATTAACATTTAAATATCTGGCATTTATCAGACCATAACGGAGCTAGAAATGCCACGTCAGCATGATAAATACAAAATGAACAAATACACTGTATCATTATAGTGATATAACCTGCCACATCCACCATATTAAAAGAAATCTTTCATTTGATATAAAACAATTAAAACCTTTCACAGAATAACACGTGAATAAACAATGCATATCATTGTAATAAAGTATCAGAATTTCGTGCGTATTTTAGGACTAGACGCCATCCAATAACCATCAAGATGAGTTCCAAAAGCTGTCGATGGTCATGTTGTCCAATATAGACATAAATATAAATAGACAGCAATCGAATGCACTTTTTCTTTGTTTGATGTTATGGCCTAGACTTATGAATATGTAGATCATCGTTTTATCTGTATAAGAATGATTTTGTGTAGCCCGAGTCAGACTACGAAATGGTAGCTTTCTGGTAGCTACTTTGTTATATTATTCAATTTAGTCTTTGCTTTCTTTTTAATATCTGAACGTGAAAAAAAAAATGCACACCTGATATCCAAATAAGAGTCAAATTAAAGGTTTCATCCATACAGAAACAAATGAGATCGTAGTTAACCTATGTAGTTATAAACCTGACAGCATTCAGCTCAAACACAACAGGCATAAAATCATACTCAAGTGTCGACTGCAGAACTTCAAACATTTATCTTAAAATTCACACTTTCACGGATATTAACGTCGTCATATCGAGGAGCGTTTAATTTAGTGATTTTGTAATAGTTTAGTTCAGTTAGACATGATTGTGTTAATTGTTTTTAATAATAAATGACTAAATATAAACATTCTGATGTTTTGCGAAAGGATTTTCCGAACACGAATTCAAGCTGGTTATTATATTTGTTTATAGCTAATATATAAGTAAGTTCAAATTTATATCATATAGTTAATAATTTGACACAAAATAATGCTTGCATAGGAAAAATTAAAAGTTGCCTTCATGTTTACTTACTATAAAAAATAGATTTGTTTACTTTCTGTTACATCGCATATTTCGTTATAGTATACAATTGCCGTCATATTTTTCGAAAACAAAGCTACTTTTGCACATAATTTAAGATTACTAACAATTCACTGTCATGGTTTGTTTCAGTAGTGTCATGGTTTAGTTCATGTTCGACATGGTTCGGTTCTGTGCTCTTCTCGTGTATGAAGAGAAAGTAACGATGAAGTAAACATACATTATACAACTATTGAAAAACTGTAAAACAACACTAATTTTCGCGGATATTATTTTGTCACGTTTTCTTTTTACCTATTCCATTCTACTTCGCAACAATATTTGTCACCATTTTCTAATGTTGTTTTGTTTATATACGAATGATTTAAGTTTCACATATTGACCTTGATTTCCTACTCGCAAAAAATAAATCGCTCTTGAAAATGATTGTTAACAGAAAATCTAATATAGTCTAGTGACATTTACCAAAAACATTTATTTTAATTTACCCGCCTAACATACGGCTAATTATATACCATTCGAAAGCATATCATCTGTACTATCTTTTTTGCCCGGTTGTCAAATATTCGTACGGTGCAGTTTCTGTAAAATCACGACGAAAGGTCAAGGACGGACAATTTCTTATTTTGCAAGACGTCAGAATTTTTGCACATTTTGTCTTTTAAATAATAAAATTATGTATGGAATTTGACAAAACTTTTAAAACAGAGACTATTAGTCAATTATCAAACGCACTTTAAAATATTACTGACGTATTTTTAATAAATAGCGCCTTTTACCAGAATATCCATCGACAATGAAAAAATGAGTGAAAACCAAAATATTCGTTTGTGATTCAATTATTAATCACCATAAAACCAAATAAAATATCTAATTTAGTACTAGTGAAATTTTTGACATCGTAATATTACTGCAATCATGCTTCCTGCTAGTTACACAGCCATCATAACAACCCATACAGTTGCCCGAAATACCACCATCTGCAAAAAAGATAGCTTTTAGCTGTTTTACGTTAAAATAGAATTGTATGGAGTCATATTAGGTTAAAGAAACGCATTAATAAAATGTAAAAATATTTGAAGGCAATAATTAACGTGGGATTCATGCTTGTAAGGGGAATTAATGTAGCTAATCTTTGACATTTTGATATGTAGTTTAGTTGCCAGCCTGTTAAAACTTTTCCGTCTTTTCTTGTTATTTTGTTTCTATTTTCATGATTATAAATAAAAGAAATAATGGACTTTATATATTTATATTAAGCTAGCCCCAAAAAACTCAATACATAAATTGATCATTACAGAGTAAGTAAATAAACAAAAAGTTGAATTTTTAATATTTCTCTGATACAATTAGAAACATTGTTTTGCTGGTTGCTTCATCTGCATCGTGTATTGACGAAAAAAGTCAAAAACTATTATCTTTTAGACACTGAAAATATTATTTGTGCCTGTTCGAAGTAGGAAACAATATCAAACTACGTAATTTTCTTGTAAAAAAATTACATGTTGCAGTTACATGTTGTATTTGGAAAAACCTTTAAGTTTTTTGTTCCCCAATGCTCTTCAACTTCGTACATTATTTGGCTTTTTTATCGTTTTTGATTCGAGCGTTACTAATGTGTCTTTTGTAGACAAAACGCGCATCTGGCGTACAAAATAAAAGCCTGGTATCTATGATGAGTTTATTTACAACCACTGGGTCGATGACACTGCTAGTGGGGGTTTCCTACCCGATGGTATCACCAACCCTGTAGTCAGCACTTCTGCGTTGACACGAATCATCACTGATATGGTCATAATTATTAATTAACTGTTTACAAAACATTGCATTTTTCGAAATACTACAGATGTTGTACCCCAGGAATAGATAACCTTAACTGTATTTGGCAAAACCTTTCGGAATTGCTAGTCCTCAATGCTCTTCAACTTTGTGCTTTATTTGGTCTATTTATCTTTTTGATTTGAGCATCACTGATGAGTCTTTTGTAGACAAAAAGGGCATCTGGCGTACAACATTTTCAACTTGGTACCTATGAGTAGTATATTTACATTAACTCTCAGTCTATATCTTTTGGTTTGAAAATTTGTGCAATTCGCAATAATTAGAGTTATAATTAGACTTCCTAAAAAAAATAAATTATTACATGTAGAATAAATAGTTATATAGAATGACATTACTGTGTAGGTGTCACACCAACAATTCAACCAATCATCATCAAGAAAGTTTTCATAAAAGTAATCAACCGCTGACAAAACATAGCTATTTTCATATTGCTGCGTTAAGCTCTCAGTTGTTGACCTGGCAGCGATTTTATGGTGATTTTACACTTTATTTTCATACTAGTGAAAATCAAGGTTAATTCTATTCGCGTCATTTTTCTAATCTCGAAAGTCACGTAAACAAATTTGTTGTCATAATTAATTGATTTTTTTTTACATTACAATGCTTTGCATGCTATAATCTGTTCATTTGGTTTTCTAATTGTGCGAAGATCTCATGTCAGCAATAAGTGTCTGATATTATTTGACATAAACAAAAAAACCATATAAAATGATGTGTTAAAATGGGAGAGAAAAAAAAGCGTTAAAAACTGCTGGACTGTAATGGTGAATTCCTTGTTTTTAACAATATTTGAACGTGTTAATCATGAATAAAATCCCTTCATGTATAATCTCCGTATGTGCATTGAACTTCACTAAAATTTACCAAGCGATATAGGATTAGTATTGCTCATTACAAAATGTTTTAGGCTAATGGCTGAACATATGAATGGAAAGAACAAAAACAAGTGGGCGTAGGGACTAGATGATTTCTAAATTTCCGAACAACACACATATGATACCATGAACAATGCGATAAAAGTAGGACAAACAACAGTCCTTAAAAACACTACACCAAAATGTACATACACTAACTTAAACTGGTGGTGATTGAAGTTGCTCATGAAGGGTAATCAATATTCCACAATACCAATTTCGGTCATATTTGATAAAACAACTATATACTAAATAAGTATGTAATAATATGCTAACATAAAAAATAGCCGGATTTGTGATAGTAAAGCCCGTGGTGCTAACAGTATTCATTCCAATATTGAAAAATGTTGAACCAAAATAAACGTCTCAATATGTCTTCCTCTTCCGACATCGAAAATCAAATATTTTACTGTATATATACCTTGTATATTCCTTAAGCACTTTTTAAAAATAATTATGTTAAATTATTTTCTCCTCATATTGAATACAATCGATGTGTTATCTAAACAATGAAAAACAAAATGATCCCTTTTCGCAGATGGTGGTATTTAGGGCAACTGCAAAAGCTTCATTAGAAGGTTGATTCATGACATATTATAATATTGATAGCAGTTAAAAATGACGGAATAAAATCCCTTCACCTATAAACGATACATTTATTTATTTTTTGATATAAAAGTATTGATACCTAAAAAAAAGTTTTAATTTAGCGCAATTTTATCATTTTTGAAGGATTTTTTAAAAATTATTATTTTCTGAAAATATTGAGCAATAAACATTTTAATGTGCATTCGATTTGGAATTTAAGTATTCTGTTCTACTATGTTCATTTTATTTTTAGAAAATAATTATCATATAAGAACCAGCAAGGCATTTTTTTCAATTCTTGCGAAATTTCAGAATGTTTATTCTTGACCTTTAACCTTGATTTAACAAACATTGCACCGTACGAATTATTGACGACCGGGCTAAACAGAAAGATCAGATAATAAGCTTTCGAATGATAAATAATATAGCCGTATGTTAAGTGGGTGCATTAAAGTCGTTAACTAAGCGTCTTTTTGAAAAATTTCACTCGCCTAATATATAAGCATTATATAATACGCATGTATAAAAAAGTCACGTGGAAAATATACTATTGCGTTTCAATGGTGATTTTCTTCAAATATTGTTTCATTTGGAATTTAAAAAAGGACCTACGAAATAACTTAGTAATATATAACAAGTAGACGTGGTATGATTGCCCATGAGACAACTATCCAACCGAGCACAAATTATGTAGATGTCAGCAACTATAGGTCGCCATACGGCCTTCAACAATGAGCAAGACTCATACCGCATAGCAAGTTATAACAGGCCCCGACAAAACTAAATGTAATACAATTTAAATGATAAAACCAAATGCCTGATTTATGTACAAAACTACAAACAAAAATCAAACACTCTTAAACAATATGGCAATTTGCGCTTTAAACTTTAATACATTTGAATCAAAGTGACCAGACATTTGCGCTTTTTACCCATGAATGTTTACCTGTAATCTTAACCAAATTTTTACCATAGGCAAGGGATGATATTCACACATGTTTTGAAAGTCAATCCGTAGAGACCACAAAATCGCAAAAGTTGTATATAAGTGAAACATAGATAAAACGTTATTATTATGGATGGTACATTCAAAATTTTGCAATAAATAGTTTATGCAACCTTATTACATCAGTGGATTAAAAATGGAAACTATATTGAGTAGATTCCTTTTATGTTCATTCTATTGTCTGGAAATTCCTATAAACTCTTCAATCATAGTGTATCTAAGATTTTTTTTAATTTTTTGAGACTGAAAGTAATTTTTTTAACAATCTGCTGTTTATGTTGACTTTGAAGAACAAGTCATGGCAGTTATAAGAATACTACTTTCATCGGCCCACTTGAAGTGTATTCATCGGACAAAAGCATAATGGCGAAATATTTTGTAATTCTGACTTTCCATGTGTCGAATTTGAAATTTTTTAACCATTTATCTCTATTTTAAAAAACGAAACAATTATATATATTTGTGAATACTTTAATCTCTTTTTTTGACAAGCAGTTCTATCAATTTTTTTTAAAGTGCGATGGTTATATGTAAATTCATCTTAACTTTAAGCTGTATATTATTATTAGAATTTGTGTTTTTTTATATTAATGATTTTAAAACTTTTAAACATGATAAAAAATAACTCACATGTTAAGTTTATAAAGCTCAGATGTCCTGTGAAAAAGGGCAAATGTCCTGTAGAAAAATCGCAAACGTCCCGCGGCGCATGATATACAGTAAAAAAAAAAATGAGAGCAACTTCATTAAAGGCTATCTTTATATGAGTGTATCTAGAAATTTGAATAAGCGTTTCAATCATATTTGATATGTACAATTTTTCATACTAAATACTAGATCGACTGAGATTTTTTTTTTTATTCTTGAAACGTTATTACATCAAACAAAATCCAAACGGAATAAGCGAAACTATACGATACATTTATACAATATGAAAAAAATATTATCGTTTTTATTCATTCGTAAATAATATTGATAAAAATGGACATTGTATTGACCTAATTCTACTTCTAAATTGTGATATTTCAGATATTTAAATTCGGAACTTTGTAAGTAATTGACAACTTATAAAATTGTTCGAAAATCAGATTTACACTTTCAACTTAATTTCATTTTATAGTTTATTTTAAAACAAAAACAGTTTTAACTGTTGCCCATGTTAAACTTTTGTCCCGTTCAGTTAATAGCGTTTCTGCAGTCATGTTCTGTACATTTACCGTTAGCAAACCGTTTTACTGATTCCATGCACAATTTTACGGAATATTTGGTTTTCATTGCTCTTCAACTTCAATGTTTTAGACTTCAAAATGTTTAGATGCGAGCACCACCGACGAGTCACAAACATATTCGATTTTGTTTTTCATATTCACGAAATTAGGATTTTTAGGGGAACTTGTGCACCTTAGTCTTATGTCCGTTTTTAATTTATTTGCAACTTTATAGACTAGTGGCGATTTAGAGATTGACATATAGACAGCTGTCTTTTGTTGAAGACTGTATGTATGGTGCACTCTCGATATCGTTTGTTTAGTTTTGTTATTGGGTTACTATATCATTACTGGCGTATAACTCCCACATCTCCTTTTATTTATCATCGACATAATCTGGTTCAAAATAAAAACAACAGATTTATAGCTTTCTAGAACACAAGTAGATTTTTTAAAATTTGACGAGCTTGTACTTTCTGCAACTTCAAATAGACGTCTTTAACCTTTTGTAGTGATGCCGCTCACGATATCTGTAAATCCCCGACACAGTCCATAATTGACACACGGAGAAAAGGTTCTAGGTGAACCAAAAGCAAGGCTTTCTGTTTTTGTAATTTGGTTTACTTAATGCCAGTTCAACAGGGCTTTGCTTATATAAACGTTATCTTAGAAAACACACAAAAAGTTAGAATGTTTTACAAGCGCCTTCAAACAAACTAACAATATTAAGAAAACAATGTATTTATTTGGATCCAAACAAAAAAAGAGTAAAAATAACACAAATATCGAACTCCAATGAAAATGTATAACGTCCCTTCAAAAATGACAAAATTGAAAGCTCAAACACATCAAACGAATGAAAAACAACTGTCATAATCCTGACTTGGTACAGGCATGTACTTTGTAGAAAATGGTGGATTACACCTGGTTTTATAGGAAGCTGAACCTCTAGCTTGTATGACTGTCGGATCAAATTCTATTATATTTACAACAATGTGTGAACAATACAAACAGACATAATAGGTACATATGCCAAAAATAGGGGCACAGCAGTCAACACTGTGTTATAATCTTAATGACTGTAAAACAAACAACAATGCTAGGTGTTACATCCGATAAAGGGTGCCAACTGGAAGAAGGTTATAGATCGTATTTTGGTTGCAAATTTCTTTTACCAGTATTTCAAAAATATTTTATACAAGTGTTTATAACACATTCTATTATATTTAAGAAAAAATGGAAACGCATTTTATTTTAAACTAATTTCTTTCGTCGGCAACATAGTTTTTATACATGAGTAAAAATTAGCTATACAACCAGGTTTAATCCACCATTTTCTACACAAGGAAAGGCCTGTACCACGTCAGGAATATGACAGTTCTTTTCCTTTCTTTTGATGTGTTTGAGCTTTTGAGTTTGCCACTAGATAAAGGTCTTTCCGTTTTGAATTTTTCTTGGAGTTCGGTAATTTTGCTATTTAACATTTTTTTTTGAAAACGCATTTGTATTGTATTTATTATTTATGTTCGTTTGTTTGTTTTAATTCTGTTATAACATTTAACTTTGTAGAACTACAAATCCTGCCGAATGAAACAATAGTTGGTACTAACGGTAGTATTATTAATGTCACATGTTCGATTAAGAATAATATTCCAGGAGCAAAGAACATTTCGTGGATACGAAATGGTAAACTGGTCAGTTCTAACACCTCAAATATCTTAACCGTTACGTTTTTACTCACCACAGAAGTTAACGAACAGAATCTAAAATGCAAAGCAGACCTTGATTGCATTGATATGCCACTTGAGCAGGACGTCAAATTCAATGTTACCTGTAAGTACAGTAGGTAGTTCTATAACACATATTACTAAGTTTGGGAAACATTTCCTGGTTAATTTAAAGGAAAGGCGAAAGATACCAAAGGGACATTCAAATTCATAAGTCGAAAATAAACTGACAAAGCCATGGCTATAAAAGAAAAAGATCAACAGACAAACAACAGTACACAAAACACAACATAGAAAACTAAAGACTGAGCAACACGAACCCCACCAAAATCTGGGGGTGATCTCAGGTGCTCCGGAGGGGTAAGCATTTCTTGCTCCACATGTGACACCCATCGTGTTGATCATATTAGTACAAACCCGGTATGTAACAGAAGACAGCTAAGATCCGACAAACAAGAATAAACAGAATCCCCGCAAAACGAAGGTGCGACTTAAAAAACGGATCTTTGAATGTTATGCTCAATGTTAGTACATAGTGTGCATGATATGAGTCTTTACTTACTGTACCAATACTTAAAAAAAGGTATAAAAGTATCCATTCATCAACCGACAAAAATTTAGAGCCGATATTTCAAATCGATTTTCTCTCAAAAGAAAAATATGATTTAGAGTTCATTTATATTTTCGCTCCGTTCATTAGTAATTGTCATGTTGACAATTAATCTGTTTCGTGAATACATTCAAGCACAAAGTGAAGAACAACAAATCAGACGACATTTCCATTTTCGAGTTCTAATTTATATAAAACAAAGAAAGTAAATTGGTACTCAATACCTCAAGACTAGAACAGATTATCCTAGTCGTGAAACCAAAAGAATCGCATGTACTTCGAACGAGATGACATTAGGTGCGGCGTAAACATGGTTTACATGGTACGCAAATTTTTGCCAGCTAAGTGTCATTGGATCAATGAAAATGACAAAGCCAACAATGATGTCAAATGAACAGAGTGGATGACTTTGTAGCATGATTGTAACCAGCTAATTTAAATTAATGAAAGGAACGAAAACAACATGACGTTGCACTTTCCTCCAAAACTGTCTTGAAAACAGTATTTACATTTTTGTACGTTTGTTACCTTTCATATTTTAAGGTAGATGTCATTCTTTTGAACGTAATTTTGAGAAAAATTATGTATGGCTTTGAAACTTAAGTTATAATGATGTTTAATTGGAAATAAATGCCTAGGCCAAATATATCTGTTTGTATAAAACAAGTAAGGATTTTTGAATGAAAGAAAAATATTTTATAATTTATTTCTTATTTTAATTCAAATGCTCTCCAACTGAATAAATGAATGTCAATTTGGTCAGGCATTCAATTCATTCAAGTTTCAATTGACACAGGGGGTACTTATCCTTTGTAAACGTCTCCATTTTTTTTATATTTTCTGTATTTTGTGGTCACTTGATGCAATCAATTTTGTATGTTAACAAAATGTAAAATAACAAAAATACCGAACTCCCAAGGAAAATTCAACACGGAAAGTCCCTTAACAAATGGCAAAACCAAAAGCTCAAACACATCAAGCGAATGGAAAACAACTGTCATATTCCTGACTTGGTACAGGTATTCCCGTTGTAAATAATTGTTGATTAAACCTGGTTTTATAGCTTAACTTTAACAAGTTGATGAAAATGTTTCCGGCTTAATGTGACCTATATCTAAAAGAGTGAAACTGAATATAAACTTTTATTAAAATCGACAAAAAAGGGCCATACCACTTAATTATAGGGATCCGTGAACCCGATTTTGAGTTATAACTAGTATATTTTGGTCCGCTGTATATACCGCAGACATTTAACGTCGAGATATAGTTTTGTAAACATTCGTAGCTATGCCCGTCCTTGGGTTAATTTTAATTATATTTGAATGTTATGTTTTATATTAGGTACACATATGAACTTATATATTACTTCTTCCAGATCCACCTTCAGTGAAAGTGACGGCATTGCCTTCATCAAAATTAAATGAAATGGATAACGTGAGTCTTACCTGCACATATGACTGTAATCCGTATCCAAGCTACATTACATGGACAAAAAATAGTAATAACGTTTCACATGATGCTAAATACAAGATACTTAATATATCAAGAGAAGACAATGGTTTGTACGCTTGCAATGTATTTAACTTAATTGGATATGGAGTTGCAAAAGTGCAGATAAGGGTCTTATGTAAGTATTTTACACCATGAGATGATAATATATAATATTAGAATAACCTAATTTTATCGTGATTCAACCTAAAATAAGGCCAAATTTATGGTGTATGTCCTCAGGAGTATATCATGCAGTGATATCAGTTTAACAGAGAGGCAAAAGATACCAAAGGTGTATTCAAACTGACGAGTCAAAGAAAACCTGACAACGTCATTGTAAGAAAACATGAGAATAATCTCAAGTACACCGAGAGGGGTTAGCTGATCCTGCTCTTAATGTGACATAAATTTACATTCCTCTCTCTATATATCATTCAAAAAACCTGTGTATGCAAATATTGTTTATAAATTTTCATTACATAATATTTATATCAAATGTAATTGTATTAGCTATAAAAATTAACTATGGATTCCTTTATTTTCGTGGGTACCCATTTTAATGGATTGAGGAAAACTTACATTTTCGTGGATATTTGATTTCGTGGTTTTATCAAATTTTGCAGGGAGTGCTGTAGATAATTTGTAATTTGTGAAACATTTAAATTCGTGGTTCACCGGTGCCCACGTAATCCATTAAATTGGTATTCCGCGAATAATAACAATGCATCCACAGAATAAAACTCTCATAAAGTTCGTGTGTCCAGAGCGCTTTTTGTGATTTACCTAAATCAGGAACGCTTAACCCCAATCATTTCAAAGAAAGAAACATATAATGCTTAAGTACAGATGACATAACTTTTTTATATGCTCACACATTGTTGTCAGTATAATGGAATTTTACGCGGCTGTCATACAAGTGAGAGGTTTAGCTAAATGAAGCTATAAAACCAGGTTTAATCCATCATTTTCTACATAAGGAAATGCCTGTTTATAGTCAGGAATATGACAGCTGTTTCCCATTCGTTTGATGTTTTTGATTTTGCCATTTGTTAAGGAACTATCCGTTTTAAATTTTTGTTGCGGTTCGGTATATTTGTTATTTTACTTTATTTACTTTATACCATGTTATCATTAAATAAATAGAATAACTGTATTTTTATCATAATTTATCATAAAATAAGGTCATAATGGGTGTGTTATCAGGTGTTTGTCTAAAGGTTGTGTCGGTTTTTACACATCTTGTAGTTATATAATAATCTCTCTCTCTCTCTCTGTCTCTCTCTCTCTTTCTCTCAAAAAAAAAATAAATAGATTAATAAAAAATAAAATAAAATATATAAAAATATGTGTTTCCGAATACTATTCATAAATTTTCATAAAATAGCATTTTTAATGCATTCGCATAAACTAAATAAAAATCAAAAATTGAATGCGTCCGACGCACTTTTCTGGATTGACCCTAATCAGTAACACACAAAACACCCAATCATTTGAAGTACAGGGAAGTAGAAAAAAATAAAAACGTTGAGAACTATGTAACTAAGAGGGATCGAAAAGCAATGGCCAAATTCATCTAAAGTCAACTTTGCCTAAAAATTATGAAATTTTATTATCTTAATAATTTTTTAGAATTGACTAACGGGAAAATTTAGAATTATTTTAGAGTTATTACATTGGTTGCAATGAGTTACCGTGATTTCCCAGTGAAATAAAGACTGATATGTTCACATGGGAAACAAATCCGATCGATAAATTAACTCCCCTAACTTCATACAACAATTGGTGTTGTCATGAGATTGTTGACGATGTTCCATCAATAAAATTCAGAATGCACTGAAAAAAATATAGTTCCTTTGATTGTTTTTTCTTTATTTACAAAATCACAGTCCATTGTCAATGTAATAAAAAGAAAAAAACTAATCCAAGAATTGAAATATCAAAAAATATTCAACTGGTAACCGAACAATACTGATAACTTACCTAAGGCGCTACGCGCATTCGTGAATTATGTTTTTTTTCGGTTACTCGTTTCTTTATTTGAATTTTTCATTCTATAAATAATGCCAATGAGAACTCAAACACTAATGACTGAGCTGATATAATAGTACAAAATGTACAACCGAAAACGATATTCGTGTACAAGACAATGATTTCATTACTTGAATGTTTCATTAAAATCAGTAATTTCGATTGGCCTACAAGCACGAGGCACTCCTACATGAAATTTTATATTCGTATAAAACACAACATCTATGGCTGCACGTGCTATTCGTGACAATGTTAAAACAATGCATAGAAAAAACAAACGTAAAGCCTAATTTAACTCTTATACTCATGGTTGTAGCATACAAATATAATTATAAAAATTGAATGCTTCTTTCTATATTTTATAGGCTGTAAAAGCATTGATCGTGGCCACTTTTTTTTATATGAAATGCTTCGGTCGACACTTTAACCCCAATAAAATTATAAAAAGAAGCATTCATTTATCAAATGATGCTTTAAAATTAATCCAAGGTTAACGATAAAAACAAAGAACAATATATCACAAAATTCACGGTTTAAGAGGCAGACAGATATAGGGACATACCGTCATCGTTACGTCTATGTTAACCATATTCATAAATCAGGTCGAAATTCCAGATAACGCAGATAATTTTAATTACTTTATCACATGACTGCCTAAAGCCATTGATGTCATCGACTATTTAAAATGCATAAATGATTAAAGACTGATCTGCATTAACCAATGTCTATCTACTTAAATTAGAGGCAACAGTACCTGAATATTTTGTCTTACATAGAAAAAAGTAAATATTTAGGCAGTTTGGCACGATTTACAGGATATAAATGGTACCATTTTACAACTTCTTACTGTAAATGATTAAAATACAAAATGTAGTATAATATTGAGAAAACACACACATACATCTCCTTTTTTAATATTCAAATTAGAGTGAAAGTGAATTTTAAACTTATGTCCATATTCAAAGAGACGAGTGTTGTGCATGTGAATATCTGTTCAGAGAGAAAATAAACAATGGCAATCTAAACATTTTTCAAAATTAAGAATGACGATAATATTGATTTTTACAGTGTTCCTGCAGATATATTTTACAATCTAAAATAACAAAAAAACTACCGAAATCCGAGGAAATTTCAAAACGGAAAGTGCCTTAACAAATGAAAAAAAAACAAAAGCTCAAACACACCAAACGAGTGGAAATCAATTGTCATATTCCTGATATTCCTAAACCTAGTTTTAAAGCTAGATAAACCTCTCAATTGTATGACAGTTGCATAAAATTCTACTATATTGACAACAATGTGTGAGCAAAACAGACAGACACAATAGGTCAAAATGTTAAAAATTGGGTACAGCAGTCAACAATGTGTTACATGTGTACATATGTACTTAATTTATTAGAATTAACATTCCAATTCTTATCTATGAATAACTATTCAAAACTGCAAATTCTTTAAAAGTTTTGTTTTAAGAATTTTGAGATAGTTTCAACATGAAGTTTAATAAACAATAAGAAACGCACGTCATTTCAATGGCAATCGTCTCATGTATGTACATGTTTATTATTATCATCAATTGCAAGCATTATGTTTTTAAACTTCTTAACTTGAGATTGACTTTTTTATATCCTAAATCGATATTAGTTAAAAGCACATTTTAAAGAAAACTTTTATTTGCATAAACGGCGGATTGAAAGAGAGGCGGAAATTATATGGGCAATACAATCCTCAGAAAAAAAGTAAACGATCGTATTTGCCGCCAACCAAAGAAACAGTTATTTTTCATGCTTTTGAAACGTTAATAAAAATAAATAAATAAATACACTGTATATGTAAATTAGGAAAGAAAGATCCCACGTAAGCCAAAAACACTTAATGAGTGAAATTCAATTTTGTATTTACTTGCCTCGTAACTTCTCGTAACCTCCCTTGCAATTGATCATGTTCCATGTGCTAGTTTGAAAGCCCCCTTGGTGTATGTTAACACAGTTGTGTTTGCTGGATCCCAATTATTGCACATTACCCTATTATGTATGTTTGGGTGGCTCACCCAATTGTGTCAATATAACGGAGCTATAAACAAATATCATACAAGTTGGAAGTTTAGTTCGCTTTATAACCAGGTTCAACTCACCATTTTCTTCTCAAAATGCCTGAAACAAGTCAAGAATATGGCAGTTGTTTTTTCACTTGTTCCGCTGTTGGTAGCGTTTGGTTTTGTCAGTTTTTATGGACTTCCCTTTTATTTAATTTCCCTTGGAGTTCAGTTTTTTTATTATACTTTTTTTGATAAATTTCATAGTGAGGTGTTTCACACAGGGACGTAGCATATTAGTAACCTTTAAAGCAGCGCTTTTTAAATTACTTTGTCATTGGAATCAATTTTAGGCACATATTACATGGAATGTTTGCAGTAGAGTAGAAACTAAGGAAAATGGGAATTCATTTCTTCTTTCTTTGAAAACGAATATCATATGAAATATATTCGACGTGCCCTAGTCGCGTGACGAATAATAACGTGACAGCATTCCACTGCGTTCTTGTGAATAATATAGTGGATTGAAGATGTTGTTATAGTATTTCAAATTGTATTTTTTGCTTATATGTCTGAATGAGATTAGAAATGTGACACCATACTTTGAGAATATACAGAGTTGAACTACAAAACACGATTCAGTCAATTCGATTCTAAAATATTACAGATGCACCAGAGGTGGTTGTAGAAAAACTCCAGAATGGCTCACTTCTCTGCAATGCAACGGGAGTTCCAAATAATAATACATTTTCAAAATGGGAACATAGATCCTTAAATGGTTATTCTTTGCGCAAACTCGATAGCAAAGGATCGAGTTTGCTTACTATTGGTTTACAAAATGACGACCCAATTTACACCTTAGATGGCAGGTACCATTGTACAGTTAGCAATGGAATTCCAGACAAAAACAACATGACTATGCAAAGTGGATTTATAGATATATATTTCCCAGGTAGGAATATTAACTTGTCATCTTTTCAATCACAACTGAATTATTTTGCACTGTTACTAAACAGTTAACCTGCAACTATCTGAAGAACTTTTAATAAAATTCGTTTCTTATAGAAGGTCTTGCTATGGCAATGCTTATAACAAATATCCAAACATACAGTTCCGTGTTACAACTTTGTAACTATAAGGCCCGAGGCTCCATCACTGTGTTACGAACGTTGTGTGTTGGAAAGGCGATATCTATCAATGACTTTGTCATTTAAATTGCAAGCCAACATACCATGTGAAAACTGTACAATTCACAACGACCCTTAGTTTGTCCTATTACTTCGATATTAAGTTTAATCTTTTTCATTTCAAACACGTTGTATTTACTCATCTTCCTCCGCTTGAAAATCGATATTTGGCAAGCTTGTTTACTATTAAATATCTCAAATTTCACAACACAGCTGACATATCTGTTTTACAAGCTATAAACTGCATTTAGGAATATTGATTCTAAGTAGCATTCATACGTCATATATTATGCAAAAGCATGTTAGATTATATAGCATACTGATATTGTATCCTTCTGAAAGGAATACCAGTCTAATTCATTCAGAAATAATATCGTGCATTTTTTCCGATTGTTCTACTGTCGACACAAATGAGAGTTTAATTATTGCGTTTCAGAAAATGCTGCTTTCAAATAATGCTATCAAAATGTGAAATGAGAGTTTTTGTTTTTGCGACACCAACCTTGTCGTACTTTTCACAATAACTTTAAAAAACACGAACGTATTGTCGCTTAGTTTTTTTTATTTGATAAAACGACCATAAGTATATTTCTTTCTGTAATGTGTTTTCATTATTATAGAAATATATAATACATAACATCAATTTGCAGATAAACCTCATTGCTTTTCTAAAAAGAAGATCGAATATTTGGTAACAATTCTGATTCAATTATGATAACTTTCGACGTTTATAGCTTGAATATAACACATTTCGATTGGTGTAGAGGCATCCACAGTCTCAATCAGTCTTTTGAATACGAATTTACAACAAACCCATCGATAACCTCCATTTCTATGTACGGGGTTTCAGTAACCCTAAATACAACGAGAATTGCACTGAAGATATCAAATCTGACAGAAACTCATTTCGACGCTCGGTATACGTTATTTATTTATAATGAGTATGGAAATTCAAGCTGTTCGGTGAAACTACTGGAAGGCCGTAAGTATTGCGTAGATAAAAATGCAATTACATAGAAGTATTGAATAATTTTTTTATGTTTTATGTTTTCGATGATTATAAAATATTTCAAACATATCTAAAAATAGTGCCATAATCTAAAATGCACTCGGTGAACATTGTGTACCAATTGTAAAGTCTATCAGACACTGTTGTGCCATTCACCTGTTTTGTTAATTTTAAATGGGATGATTTTTACAACATGTTTTAGTTCTTCATAGAGTTTACACCAACTTAAAATCACATTAAAACGGAGTCTCATTACTGGTAATATATATGGGGACGACCATTTGATATTCGGGGGGGTGGGGGGGGGGGGGGGGAGGGGGGGGGGCGGAGGATTTGTTTTGGATGGGTTATTTATTTTTGTGGACCAAAAGGACAGATTATTTATTTTCTGCACTGTTGAAGCATGATTTCACTTTTTCATTAAAACAAGGGACTGATTATCTATTTTTACAATTATATTCATAATATATGAAATCATACAATTTTTTAATTCTTAAATAAATAACATAGTCAATTAAGTCAATCAGAATTAATCATCATCCTCTGAAAGGTAATCTTCTGAATTGCAAACTGCATATATTGCATACGTACAAGGTATTAAAGCTGGGCTGTAACTAGCCTCTTTTAAAAGTTGTCAAACATTTTCGCCGAGCGGAGCGAGGCGAACAAAAATCAGCGAAGAGTCTGGGGTTCGCTGAAGGCCCTAAGAAGCTATAGAAAAAATGGCGCAAAATCATGCATTATGCGCGTTTCCCAGACCCTTTCTTAATCTGAAACGCAAGTTCTGTTTTAATTTTTTGACAATATTCTGGCCTCAAAGCAAAATATATAGATTCAGTGTAAGACTTTTAGTTTTAAGGGACAACATCAAAAGACCAATATGTAGGACAAAGCAAAAAATGTTTCAGTTTGCAGAAAAACCTTTTATACCAGTCCTGTCAATTATGTTTTTTTTCAAATTAAGTTAAGAGGGGGGTGATTATCATTGATATAACTATGACAAGTCAGTTTTTATAACACATTTCAATTACAACTTGATGTAGTTCCTAACTGGGATACAATTTAAAGTAGTTTGTAATAGACAAAAGGTCCTTAAATATAATAAAACTCAAGTTTAAAAACATAATTACTAAATTAAAAATAGAATGCAACACTAAGAGAATAGTCATAAAGAAGGGCAATCAATGAACAAAAGACAAACCCGGGAACAGATAAAACACAAAACGACAAACATTATAGACAATCAACACTGAAAAATAAAAACAAATGAGAAACATGGATCTCAAAAAACAGGGGCTACGTCAGAGGGTGACCAGACCTTGCTTCTTGCAAGACACTTGCCGTGAAAACAATTTGATATGAAGACAAGCTTTTGTTTTGAAATTTCCAACATGATGCATTTGCCTGACTGTAGTTACGGCCCTGTAATAAAAGTGAGGTTAATGTTCACGAGACAATAAACCTCAAGTGAAATGAAACCCATTTTCAAACATTTCCAATACATTATATTTATATTATTAAAAGATTTGGGAAGTTTTTCCCGAAAAAATTATGAAAAAAGACGAATTTTGGAAGAATTTGGTGCCATCTCATTCTTCAGAATAGCATTTATAAAATGGCTTAAAAGACCTGCCAAGTTATTTTCAATACATTGTAAGTCAGGTTATTCATTTTCAAACTACCACAGAACAAACCATTCATTTTTGTTATTATCAAGGCTGAGTTATTTATTTTCAAAATCCTCCTCCCCCCCTCCCCCCCCCCCCCTCCAGAATATCAAATGGTCGTCCCCTATGATTAAATGGAAGAAAAAAACTACTGATTTCAATCAAAAATGATGTCAGTGAATATAACTACACATCCTGTATTTATCATATTTTACAAAATTTTCCTAAGGTTATTTCATTTCAAATATTTCTGCATCACTGAAAAGCCATTATTTGTCGAAATGCGCACCTGGTGCACAAAAACTGGCACCGTTAATGTTATTATTACCTAAACTGAGACAATAAATATTTGAAAGACATCCATTAAAATTATTGAAAGCTATCATTTGCATTAACCATAGTATCATATATGAACTAGATATACCACAGTGGGATAACGCTCTCAGTGGTGTATCTAATAACATCAAATGAACGCGTATATATAATGGCAATGGATGAAAACAGATACATTTACGCATTTGTAACCACACTGTTTTCTCTAATCTTTTAGAAAGTATTTGATCGATTGATTTGTACTATGATCTGGTAATACTACTGAAATAACGATTTGTATTCCACATAATTAATATTACCAATAATTAAAAATGTCCGAGTCGAATCTGCGATACCGATAACAATAGTATATGTTACAAATAGTTTCCGGTTGTAGCAATAAAACCAGGACGGGTTCAAACAGAAAGATTTTGAAAGAAGAGAAAACTGTGCACCTTATAATCAACATGACTTTATCAGATGACAATACGAATACTAATAATCGAGGCCAAAAGTAAGGCGTAGGTACTTTCCAATGTGTTGGCCGGCATGACGTAACAACGACGAATCAAATATTTCAACTTTATATATGACTGATAAAGGACAATTTTGTTGATTAAAAATTACACCAATCCAGGCCCTTTTGTATTCCACATAATTAATATTAACAATAATCCGATATCGATACCAATAGTATATATCAAATGTAGTTTCCGGTTGTAGTAAGAAACCCAGGGCTGGTTCAAACAGAAAGATTTGAAAGCAGAGAAAAATGTGCACCTTATACTAATGATCAGCATGACTTTATCAAATGACAATACGAATACTAAAAATCCAGGATAAAAATAAGGCGTCGGTACTTTAATTCAATCATGGACCCGCGATGTCGCGAGTATGTTCTAGTCTTTAATTAAACTTCAATTGTTTTATAAAAAAGACAAGTTTGTAAACATTGGAGAAGTATTCCATGTGTAATTTAATTGACAGGATTTTTTATAGTTTATTTGAAAATAAAATATCAATTGCTCATATTTTTCCCTCGTCTAATTGATACCTTCATACTATGTAATGTCCATCATGTATGTTTGTGGTTAATTTGCCAAACCTGATGTTAATGGGTAAATGGCCAAAAATGTATATTTTGCGAGTAAATAATAACATTTCTATGGAAATATGCATACATTGCGATTAGTCATTCTGAATAAATGTACAAATACTATGAATAAAATGTAGACAGATATAATGAGGCCATAACGCAACTGTCCTTCGTCTAGGTCAACGATATTAATTGTACTCAATCAACTGAATCTATAGGCATTTGTCGATTCACTAACATAATGATTACATTATTAAAACATAAAACATTAATACTTCGACCATTTTTCTATATGATATTGATTTTGTGAAGCTTTTTTGTGTTTTTATTTATTGAATAATTTGCTTCTTTTTTCTATACTGATTGTTGAGAAGCGTACTTGGCGTTGTTTTTATTAGTATCACAGCGGGTATGAGTGCTAATGCATATTAATCTCGTTATGCCAAATTTTAAAGTGTGTGTCCCAATCCAGGAATCCCATTAGTGGTTGTTGATGCTTATCCCCTTTTTATCTACTAGTATTTTAAATTTTTTTATGTTATTTTGACGCTAAATTTCAGACAATTTCTAGTAAATTTATGTAGAGCATGCCGGATGTGGAAAGTCGTAGAGCATTCAATTTTGATTTTTCTCATACATTGATGCATGGTCAACCTTACTCATTATTAGAAAAATTGGTAATAAATTCCCCCTTTTAATGTGCATCATAAATGTTTGTGTTGTTATTTTATGATTTAAGTGCAATTTATTGGTCTGAATGTAGTGTTGTCTGTGATATGACGAAACGATAAACAAATCTCAAGCCTATATAAGAAAGGACATCATTGTAGTTTATGATATGAACCTCGCATCTGTGTTCTTCAATGCATAAATTTTGACTGGTCAACATGTAGCAAAGAATGTCACTCAAACACAAAAACACATCGCGGTGTGAGCTTTTATTGAGTTTTGGAGGCTTCGTTGTGAATTTTGATACGATTTACAGCAGTGCTTTAGGTTTCAGGACTTTGTATCATAAAGTTATACGCAATTTCATCAGCTGGTAAAAAAACCATGATAATCACAAAAAAAGACAAGCGAGACTAAAGAAATATTAAAAGTGACATTTCTCATTTATGCTTTCAAAATACAGGTGTGCCAGCTAAGCCTGTGAAGTTTAAAGTAAATGCATTGATAGGCGGTTTTCAAGTCAGCTGGATGCCTGGAAATAGTGGTTACTTTCGTCAACATTTTATAATTACATACCGCTCATTGGTTGACAAAAATTGGACAAAATTTGAACATTTATCAAATGAAGGACGCCAGACAGTTCAAGGTCTCTTTGAGAATATGAAGTATATTATTTATATGTATGCACGAAATGATATAGGAAAGAGTGACAACACAGACTATGAGACAATCCAAACACTTGAATCATATACAATATGTAAGTGTTTCCTCTTATATCATTCATTGTTTTATTCCGCAATACTTGACCAAATGCATGATTCATAAGCATGACATTTCATTTGCTAAAAGGAAACCATTACACAGAATATCATTTTGTCATGGCAGTAATAAAATCAATAACATATAGACAAATTCATCCTTTGAGTAATTTCCCATTACATTTAAGGAAAATATTGAAAACGATAACAAAAATCATGATCCTTACCTTATATCGATATAAAGAGTGCAATTCCATGTATTTATTAATACCGTATTTCTGTAATTTCAGACTAAAGAATTAATCATACGGCTCAATCGATTAATCAATAATGCAGTTAAGTCTCTATGATATCTAGAAATAAACAATGAGGGTCGGTTGATTTCAGCTGCCCAATTATTAACTTAAAATTTTTTGTAGCAAACATAATGCAGCGGCTGCATATCATGAACATAAAGTACGGTATATATCTCTCAGGTGATACACTATTTTAGAGCTTGCGTTTACTAGTTAATAATAATTTTACTTGATTGAGGGTTGTTTCTTACAATGATGCTATATATATATATATATATATATATATATATATATATTGAACCAAGAGTTCCGAGTGTAAAAGTTGAAGTAATCCCTTCGAAAGTTTTATGCGCACCATCATGTGCTTGTTGACTGTTGTGGAATATCTGTGTCACAGATGACCACGGATATCTTTCCCTCGATTGTGATATAACAGAAGGGCACTCATCACAAAATGTCTACTTATCATATGGAGCAGGATTTGCTTCGCCTGTGATCAACCCCGCTTTTTTGTGGGGTTCGTGTTGTTGGAAGTTTAGTTATTAATGTGGTGTTTTAAAGATTGTTGTTTTTCTTTTCTTTGTTTTTCGAGTTTTGTCCTAGTGTTGTCTGTTTCTTTTCGACTTATGAATAGGAAACCGTACGACTTTCAACAATGGGAAAAACCCATACCGTATAGTCGGCTATAAAAGGCCCCGACATGAAAAATATGATAATATTGACATATTTTCTCGTTTAGTATACTAGTAAAACAAAGTCGTCTTAGCTTATTTAAATACATCCAATACTTTAGATGTATGTGCATTAACATTAAACTGAAGACAACAATGGTTGTCTGGACGTTCTTATATATATATTTCAACAACACTTTTTATTATATCAAATTAACATCATTATATTCCAGAGAATTAAGATACATTTACTTCAATGCGTAATTGATTTTGTAGCTACAAGACAATCTTACTCAGTTACATTGTCTGCTTACATTGCTGCTTGCTTTTGTTGTGTCGTTATCCTGCTACTGGCATCAGCCTTTTACATACGACTTCGTGAATTCGCTTTTAAAGGTAAACAATTTAAGATGATATTTCCGAGATGAGACTAATTTTTCAGTGGCTAAACATGATACGCCAATAATATATTTTTGTATAAATTGATTGTGATGAGTAAATGTCAGTTCGACATATGTCATAATGCTTTGAACTCAAACTTCATAGCACCACGCTAAGGATTTTATTGAGGAGGTCTGTTTCTTGATAACGTTGGAGGATTGATCAACGATACCTGTACTTGGGTGCTTAGTTTTAATGAGAATATTAGTACCATTGTTATATGTCATATAGCATTGAATTAAATTTTACGCTCCAGCTTTCTTAAGTAAGTCTTTATGGGTGGGTTTTTGTCGAGCCTTCGACTTTAGTCGAAAAAGCGAGACATAGCGATCCTACATTCCGTCGGCGTCGGCGTCGTCGTCGTCGTCGTCGTCGGCGTCCACAAATATTCACTCTGTGGTTAAAGTTTTTGATATTTTAATAACTTTCTTAAACTATCCTGGATTTTTAGCAAACTTGGACAGAAGCTTGTTTATGATCATAAATTTTGTAAAAATAAAATTCCTATTTTTCCGTATTTTACTTGTAAATGGACTTAGTTTTTCTGCCAGGAAACATTACATTCACTCTGTGGTTAAAGTTTTTAAAATTTTAATAACTTTCTTAAATTATCCTGGATTTGTACCAAACTTGGACAGAAGCTTGTTTATGATCATAAGATAGTATCCAGAAGTAAATTTAAAAAAAAAAATCATTTTTTCCGTATTTTACTTATAAATGGACTTTGTTTTTCTGCCAGGAAACAATACATTCACTCTGTGGTTAAAGTTTTTAAAATTTTAACAACTTTCTTTAACTATCCTGAATTTGTACCAAATTTTGACAGAAGCTTGTTTATGATCAAAAGCTAGTATCTAGAAGGAAATTTTGTTAAAATTTGTACCTGTTTATCCGTATTTTACTTATAAATGGACTTAGTTTTTCTTCCAGTTAACATTAAATACAGTCTGCAGTTAAAGTTTTTAAAACATTTATTAGATTCATAAACTATCCTGGATTTATACCAAACTTTTACAGAATCTTCTTACAATCAAAAGATAGTAGCTAAAGGAATATTTTTATTGATTTTTTTCCTCATTTTTGTTGAGCCTGCGATTAACAGCAAAAGTAGGCGAGACACTATGTTCCGCGGAACCCTTACGATTTTTTTTTCATAGTAACTATACATTATAGCTCAATTATATTTAAAATTTGGTTTGGTTGCTATGAGTATATGACAATCTAATAGATGTCCTTTAACCTTGACTTCAATTTAACGTTTCAGTGATGAGATTAAGTTTAGGTTGCGGTCGTTTTTCTTAACTATAGATGTTACGTTAACAGTATGTGGTAAATGGATTGATTTGGAAAAGTATACTTCTGTGTGCCATATATATTATTGCATATGCGTAATGCAAAGAAACTGAGGCAAGAATTCGGAATATGTCTAATCATCGATATCTTTATGACGTAAGAAAATTGTGCGTACTTTTTCTTCAATTAAGCGATATTTCATTTGAAAGAATGTGCAACCAGAACGGAATAGACAGATTTTACGGTATAATATGCTCTCCTAATTTAGTTGCAGTAATTTTTTGTAGGCATGTCAACGAGTACTCGATTACTCGAGTATCGCTCGGTAGTATCGAGTATCGAATACCAAAATGATACTCAACTAATCGGTTTCCTGTTAGAATGTTGTCGCCTTCTGGAAGATTTTTTTTTATTTAGAGCGCCTCCAGGGACATTAAATATTAATCAAAATTAATCAAAATTAAAATACGTTTCGAAAGTTTGCGTGTAATTGTCATTTAAAATTCCATCAAACAAAGGTAGGCTTTGAACAAGAGTACCTTTCCAAGGCTTACACTTTTAGCTCATCGTGTCTTAGTCATTCCACCACCTTTCTACCGTCAGAGCAAATATTTTCATCAGCAGGACTGTAAGTTACGTAACAAAGTTGAGAAATCGACTCGTCCCAGACAAAGTTGACAAGATAATATTACTAAATAAGAACAAATTTATTGCACCCTGTGTCAACCCACAGAGAATGTTTAAAGGCATAAGTAAGTTCTAATCATCACCCCTTTGTTGATCAGTAATGTGTTTCTTTACGAATCCCAAATACTGTTGTTTGAGTAATAAATTTTTTATAGATATTTATTTATTAACTGATTAGATTATTGCCAGTTTACATCATTTGCAAATGTAGTAAATGAGCTATTAATTGTGGTATAAAATTCCTGGGACTATCATCTAGTCCTAGGTAATAATGTTGGGGTTTTACGTCCATAAGACAACTCTCCACAATACGAAAAATGGGTATAATTATGTGTTTCCATTTTTTAGATGTTTTTTTCGAGCGAGTACTCGAGTATCGCTCGGTTAATCCGACGAGTACTCGATTAGTAAATATTCACCAAGTTGACATCCCTTCTTTTTTTCTAATTCAAGGTAATAATGCAAAAATATATGATAAGTTAAGGGCCTATATAAATGTCATTTCATAGCCAGAGAGAATAGATATATATCTTTTTTTCTTTTTTCTAGGACAAAAGAAAACACAGATGGAAAACAGCAAACAAAAGGAATATTGTCAGGTATTTATTTAGTAAATATCATTTGCTTTCAAATTGGTTCTTTGCAATATTTTTTCAACTGATTTTTACAGTTTGTTCTTTTGTTGTACTGTTACACCGATGTTCCTAAAGTGGGGGTTGAATGCTCACATACATAACATGTTTAAACCCGCCAAAATTAAGTGGTTGTTGCCTATTATCAAAAAAAAAATTATTTATTCTTTTGTACATAAATCAGACCGTTTTGTTTTCTCGTTTTACATTTTGTAATGATATGGTTTTTTTTTTATATTTACTATACGCTATGTTATTTGCTCATTGTTGAAGGCAAAAATGCCAACAACCATATTTTTTGGTCTCTGGTGGATAATTGTCTAATTGACAATCATACCACATCTTCTTTTTTTGAATAATAAATTTAAACAAAATAGAAATCACATGACATTTAACAGCAAACAAACTTCATAATATAGCAAGGAAATATAATAATAGCAATGTAAAATTAAAATTATCTTGTTTGCAATTTATAAAACCGATGGGAAATGCCTCTTCCCTGAAGTTACCGCCAGTCAATTAGTCCGAGCAGTGGTTTAAAAGAAGAGCTGAGAACAATAGATGAGTTAGTCGTCTTACGTACAAGGTGACAACATCAAAAGTGATTGGTAACCATAATCCGAAAAGTTATTTCGAAACCACAATCATAAAATTCTATTAACACAAACATCTGTAAATAATGTTATAGTCAAATGCAAATTCTCGTATTTTCATAATTTATCATGAAAAAAGTTCCATCAGAAACTTGTTACGATGTTATTTACAAAACTGCTAATCTGTACTGCACATTCATAAAACTTGCTCGAACAAATCAGGTAATCTTCTTATTTATATATACAAAATCTGATACATAAAATCTTTCCATACGCCAATTTTGATCATCTTCAGTGTGTTTCAGATAATCCTTTGCATGGTACTGTGCACATAAAATAAATGTGTGTTGACAGAATGCTAATCAAAAACAGTGATTCATGAAAACTTTAATATCTAAAAAATACTGTTATGCATTATTACATGAATGTAGATCTTTAGTAGTAGTAATAGGATAGTGATGATTGCTTCGTCATTAGGTTTCTTCATGATCAGGATAAAAACGTAACCTAACCCTTGCCCAACTGAAAATGAAATACCAAAAGGACCGAACTCGCAACATGTCGTTTTGTATTCATATAATTAAACGGTGTTTTCAGAAAAAGTTAATATGCTTTTAAAACTACTCAGACATCGGATGAAAATCTAAATTAGTGCTACATTGTACATTGAATAAACGCAGTCGTCATGTGTATACAGTATTTGACATGACTTGAAAAAATACAGAAAAAGTAACGCAAACCGATATATTATAAGTAAAACAACGACGATCAAAGAGAAATGGGTTGCTTATCAAGTTTTTTATGAAATGGGTCCCAAAGCACTCAATGTTTTCTATGTATTATATATATATATATATATATATATATATATAGGATTATATGTAAAATCATGGTATACTTATCTAAATACTCCTAATTCAGACGTTCTAACTGCGTTAACTTTTGCATATTATTATTAACTTTTGATTTTACAGCAAAGACATTTTTCGATTTATGAAGAAGTGATTTTGAATCCAGCACAAAATGGAAAACGGTTCATCATAAATACTATAGCCATAGATGACGATCTGAATACGTCTGGTTGAACACTACGTATATAAAAGTGAAACTTAGTCCCTAATCCTTAATTAACATTTTTATCAATATTTTAACTATTTTCAACTCTTTTTTTTTCAATTAATAAAAAATACAATAAATTGTACTAAGTGTTAGTGTATACACTTCCAAAGAACGCATAGTAATCAATTGCTACAAACCACCATTGATGTGATTACCTAAACACCAGTATGAAATGAAGTATATATAATTATATATAAAAAAACACCAGACTCAAGCTAGCGATCAATTCCAGCGACCAATCAAGCTAGCAACTAATTTTATCGACCACTAAAGTTAGCAATGAGAATCAACTTGGCAAAGAATCATAATGCGGTATGTTTGAAAACCACAAAACCCCATTATGAAAAAAAACTTTCTGTCAAAACGAAATTCTAGCTACAAGTACGGTATATATTGTTTTTTAACGTTTAGATGACCAGAGATGTCCAGCATTTGAAATGAAAGTGGGACACTACAACACCAATGACGTCTGTGGCTGAATGCACTGACTATAAATAAGAAGATGTGGTATGAGTGCCAATGAGACAACTTTCCATCCAAGTCACAATGTATAAAAATTAAACTATTATAGATCAAAGTAGCTAGCTTGACTAGCTTGCTTACTAAATGCCGACATATTGATATCAATGAGTAAAGAAATATATAGTTTCTATAAAAAAATGTGCCAGCAATTCGAAAAAAGTCCGAAACATCTTAATAAAGCCTGTGTCAGATATAAGATGTTTGATGAAATTCTGTATATGTCTATTATTAATACAGGTTTTGTTAACGAACTATTTTTATTCCGCTGCTTCCAAACACATACTATATATTTTCATACATGTATTTATATCAATGAAAGTGCGCCCCCTCCCCAGATTTTACACCATCGGGAAAGGGACAAGTTGGGAAAATAACCATAGTTTGACGTCTTATTTACTTTTCTGTGTTTTCCAAACGCTAAACCTATTATGTTGTAAACTTGTATCAATTATTGCAAATAAAATATTAAAGACGCCTATCCTTTAAGCATATAGTGGTTATATAATAGCACATTGAGGATCAGAATCAGAATAAAAAAGTAACTAATTGAATAAATAAAAAACAAGAATATTTGTCCATGATGATTTGCTCGCACAATCATTTTCCATATTCAGTGATATTTGTGTCAAAATGCTAATTTTGGCATTCAATTTAGAAAGATCACATTAAAATGAACATGTGTACTAAGTTTCAAAGTGATCTGACTTCAACTTCATTTTCAGCTACATTCCCCAATAACGTTAATCTAATGCAGTATTAACATACGAACGGACGGATAAAGGAACGAACGAACGGATGATCGGACAAACGAATGAACGAACGAAGAAACAAACACACAGACCAGAAAATATCATGCGCTTTACTATCGTAGCGTAAAAATAGATTTTTAATTTGAGTTAACTTAAACTTGTTCCTTAGTACAATGTATATGCTTTCAAATAAACGAAATAAGAAAAATACTTTGTGCGATAGAATAACTATATACTGGCTTCCCATACACCTCAAATATCCTGTATTTTTTTAGAAAAGGAACTTTTAATGTCTATTTCCTCTACTAAAAATGAAAACATATGGAAGAACAAGCTGTAAGAGTGTATTTCATGCCGATAATATGTACTTTCAAATAAAATTATACGTGCACTATTTTGTACGGCATGCACCCTTACTTGAAAAAAATGTATCGACAGGAAAAAAGACTTCTGATTTAAAAAAAAAAAAAAACGTACACTTTGAACAGCAACTTTGATCCCCTAAAATTCCCGAAAAAAAAAACATTTCAGTGGGCTCTTCCCTAAGTTATTAGATATAAGAAGATGACATATAAGAAAATTAAATTTAGAATGGAAATGGGGAATATGTCAAAGAGACAACAACCCGACCAAAAAGCAGAAAACAGCCGAAGGCCACCAATGGGTCTTCAACACAGCGAGAAAATCCCGCACCCGGATGTGGACTTTAGCTGATCCCTAAATAAAAATTTGTACTAATTCAGTGAAAATGGACGTCATACTAAACTCCAAAACATACAAATGAACTAAAATTTAAAAACATACAAGATAAACAAAGGCCGGAGGGTCCTCACTTGGGACAGGCGCAAAAATGCGGAGGGGTTAAACATGTTTTGTGAGATCTCAACCCTCCCCATATACCTCTAGCCAATGTAGAATAAACAAACACACAGCAATACGCACAGTAAAACTCAGTTTAAAAGAAGTCCGAGTCCGATGTCAGAATCGGTAACAAAAGAAACTAAGCAAAATGACAATAATACATAAATTAACAAAGGACTACTAGCAGTTACTGACATGCCAGCTCCAGACTTCAATTAATCTGATTGAAAGATTATGTCTTCATCATAAGAAAATCAAGCACAATCCCTCCCGTTAGGGGTTTAGTATCATACCATCATACCATATATGAGAAGAACATAACCCGTATCATGCCAACAACTGGTTTTACAACAAATGTGTTTATTTCCGATGCAAAGACGCTATGAGTGAATCAATATTAATACCAAAATATGCCATCTTCAATGACCTGACAACAGTATCGTTACTATATCCTTTCTGAATAAGAATGTTTAAAGGTTTGGTTAGCTTTTGAAGTGAATGCCGACATTTTTGTGCTTTGTAAAAGAATATTACCATAACAGATTGGATGTGAAATACCTGAACGTATAAGATGTCTGCATGTTGATTTATATTTTCGAATGATGTCCTTGTACCGATGATAAAATTTAGTAAATGTTTTGCCTAGTTTGTGATATCGAAAACACTGGTGTAATAATTTTTCAGTAATACAGAGATTTCTTTTGTTAAAATCAATACGTTGTTCCATACACGAGCGAATCGAACAAGTTGAGATATATAAACACCATAAGATGGTGACAAGGGAACGTCACCATCTAAAAATGGATAATTAACAAAAGGAAATGAAAAATCATCTCTTTTATAAAAAATTTTGGTATTAAGCTTCCCGTTAAAGATATAGATATCAAGATCCAGGAAAGGGCAGTGTTCATTGTTAGTATTAGCTTAATTTAAAGTCAGTTCAGCCGGATAAATCTCTTTAGTGTACATACTAAAGTCGTCGTTATTGAGAGACAATATATCATCCAAATAGCTAAAAGTGTTATTACATTTTTGTATCAGATGTTGTTTCGATGGGTCTTTGCTGATTTTAGTCATACATTGTAACTAATAACAATACAGAAACAGGTCCGCAATAAGTGGTGCACAGTTAGTCCCCATTGGGATTCCGATAACTTGACGATATACGGAATCTCCATAGCAAACAAAAATGTTATCTAGTAAAAATTCAAGGGCAGTTATAGTATCAAAGCAGGTCCAATTGACATAGTTCTTTTGTTTGTTGTTATTAAAAAATTACCTAAAAGAGTTTGAACATATATATTCGCATTCTGACTTTTAAGCGCATATTTAATTAGGTGTGTAAATTTTTTTCTTAATAAGATTATGAGGCAAAGTGGTATATAGGATAGAAAAATCAAAACTTTGAACAGATTCGAAATCACCAATATAAGCATGCAATTTATTAAGTACTCCCAACGAGTTTTTGACACTCCAAAAGTAATTAATTCCACTATTTTCAAAGGCCTTATTTGAACAATTTATTATCAGGTTTTTTATTGTACCAAGTGTACTTGTAAGTAGAATAGACAGTTAAGTAGTGGAACAATGGCTTGAAGACGAAATAAATCTATATTTGTAAGGTGTTTTGTGCAGCTTCGGAAGCCAGTACAAAGTTGGAACTTTCATTGTATTTGGTTCTGCTTGTAAAGAGACAGCTAAAATGTTATGTTTGTTACAGATGTCATTTTCCGAATATGGAGTCAGTTGGAATGTTGTTGAATTCGTGATTTCCTTTTGCAGAATCTCAATGTAAAATTTACGTCAAACAATAATGATATTATTAGCAGCCTTATCAGCCGGGACAAAAACAAATTCCTTGGCGAGTTCTTTTAGCTTATGTTTGATACGAGAAATATGGCTATTATGTTTGTTGTTAGGAGTAAAATGTTCTTTAAAAATGTTGTATACGTATATCAACTATGTTCATTCAAAAAAGAACCTAATGATTTCTTGTCAGCTTTTTTGCGTTTTACTACCTTTCATTTGAGCCAGGTCCGGTAAAGAACTTTGCCGTGCGGAGCTGGCGAGGCTTACCGAAAGAGTTTAAGGTGGACACGTAACATTTATTTTTTGTAACAGCAACTTTAAACCCCTATAATTCCCGAAAGGGCTAAACTCTCAAGAAAAAATTTCAGTGGGCCCTTCCCTAAGTTATTACCTTTCATTTGAGCCATGTCCGGTAAAGAGCTTTGCCGTATGGAACTGTCGAGGCTTACCGAAATTGTGTAAGGCCCTTTCCATTAAAATGAGATCTTTCTAAATTGAATGCCAAAATTAGCATTTTGACACAAATTTTACTGAATATGGAAAATGATTGTGCGAGCATTTCATCATGAACAAAAATTCTTGTTTTATTTTAATTCAATTTGTTTACTTTTATTCTCATTTCTGATCCGCCATGTGCTATTATATAGCCATTATAAGCTTAAAGGATAGACGTCTTTAATGTTTTAGTTGCAATAATTGATACAATTTTACAATATGATAGGTTTAGCGTTTGGAAAACACAGAAAACGTAAATAAGATGTCAAAATATGGCTATTTTCCCAACTTGTCCCTTTCCCGATGGTGTAAAATCCGGGAAAGGGGCGCACTTTCATTGATATAAATACATGTATGATAATAGGAAGTATGTATTTGGATGCAGCGGAATAAAAATAGTTTTCAAACAAAGACTGTATTAATAATATACATAATTATACAGAATTTTATCAAACATCATACATCTGACACAGGCTTTGTTAAGATGTTTTTGACTTTTTTCGAATTGCTGGCACGTTTTTTGTTATAGAAACTATATATTTCTTTACTCATTGATATCAATATGCCGGCATTTAGAAAGCAAGCTAGTCAAGTTAGCTACTTTAACCTATAATTCTTTACTTTATATACATTGTGACTTGGATGA